TGTGGACATCGACGGTGTATCGACTACCTCCATTTCGTACTGGGTTCTGGGGGGAACAGACCAGGCGCAGGGGATGCCACTGCGTGAAATTTCACCAATGGACCAGATCTTCCCAGTTCAAGGGATCAAGACAGTGCAGAGAGTACACACCACATGAGCACGCGAAACTCTTGCGGACTGCACCAGTCGGCGCGCTCAGAGCGAGGAGTATAGTTTGCCTGGCCGTACTACCTTCGTTGCACAAAGCTCCAGGCCCTAAACGGTACTCTGAAGCAGGAACGAGCACGGAATGCAGATGGCTCTCTCTCCAAGGGTTTGTACGAAACCGAATCCAAAACACTTATTTTTAGGCCTACTTGTCGAAAATCGGGCGGGTTTTCTCCCGAGGCGTCGATGCTCTGGGGTTAGGTTAGGGTTAGGGTTAGATCGATCAAGTCAAACGTTACTCTACAAGACCAAGGCTACGAGTAGGTATATTTGCGGGACTATGTTCTCTGTTGTGCAGTGCTAAAAGCGGCAAAGGCACGGCAGGTGGTTGTGTTGGATGGTTAGCTGAGCTGCTTCGCTCATTTTCGACCTTTGGCCGCATGCACTGTACTTTTGTAGGAATGGGGCGCTACCGTACGTGTGTTCCTATAGCACGGCTGACCGTGGGCCGGCTTCTGACGAGCAGATGCAGAAGCAGTAACGAGAGGGACGCATGTTCGCAATCCATAAAAGCATCATGGTAACTTTTCGAAGATTCGTGGTAATTCTTCGAACTTCGTCCCCCTCCGGGGGAGGGGAGGGTTAGGGCGTATGTGTCCGGAATGTGTTTTTTCGCACAGACCCTTGCTCGCTCCGGGAAATATCTCTGACGAAGAACCAGGAAAAGTCGCCTAGTTGCCTGCAGACAATCATAAAGAAAAACGAAAACGCACGCGCCACTCCTGAAAGCGTATATCAACGACTGCAGCCGCAATTCCCACGGTAGGGTGATTGCCAGAGGTTGCCCTATAACCTGCAGCCCTCAGACTATTGATACGTGGTGACAACAGCGCAAAGGTCCATGGTCAGGCTTGTTTTCGTTTGTTTTTTACACAAAAAGATTTATGATTGCCTGTACACAGCAATACTCACCAGCATGGTCGTAGAGGGGATGACACCCCAAACCCTCTGACCTCTCAGGTCACGGATGAAGGTAAAATCTTCGGGGTTTTGACCTCTATAAGTACAGTGTTTTTCGTCGGTAACCTACAGATTGGTGTTATGTTCAACTGATTGCTACGTTTCCCTCTGCATCTACAACTGCAGCCAGCACGAGAGTGGGACGAGACACCATGTGCTGTGTACAACCGTATGTCCGAAAGTTTTCTCTTGCTCGAACAAGTTGTTGGTCCTCTCTCGCCGTCTTGCGCTCTCTGCTTGCTCAGTGACAACCTTTTCGTTTCCATTGATGAAATCTCGCGATACGTCCAACGTAAGTGAGAGTAAACTCACCCAGGCTGAGTTCAATGAGTAAGGGTGGCAGCCCTTAAGGTTCTGCCATCATTTGTATCCTTTGAGGCCAAAGCACACTGCCGTTGGCTCTCAAAAATGTCGGAGAGTTGTTCCAAGTAGAAAAGCAAGGACAAAGTCTCCATTCTTTGAATTGGCGGTGAACCAAAGCGACGCCAAACTTTTCTCGCACCTTTTTTGCGAAACACGAGCAACCGATCTGAAAGTGGTTCACCACACTGTGTAGCCTGGATCTGTGCGTTCATCATGCACCCGTCGCTGCACGCGTCGCTACACACGCGAGCTAACTACAAAACATGTCGAGTTGTTCCACACAGAAAAACAAGGATAAATTCTCCTTTCTTTGAATTGGCGGTGACTTCCAAGGTTGCCGCACCGCCGAGATTGCCAAGGTAGCGTGTTGCCGGTATTGCGGTGACGTCGCGATTTTATACCCCTGGGTGAGGTGACTCCCAAGGTTGCCGTGTTGATTGGTTTCAAGCCTAGTGCTGCTGGATAAGCACGGCTGACCCGGTTTGGACAGGAATGAAGAGATGGTAAAGTCGTTTATAAGGATGCCCTCGTAGGCAAGGGACAGGAGAGAGTGGGCGCGTCGTGCGCCACAAAGCATCAAGCAACAGTCGCAAGAAATTCACCGACGTAAACACGCATAGACTTTCCGCAACTCGGAACAACTCCAACTACCAAAGACACGTCGGGAGATACCCCGAGGATCCACGCCTGTGGAACGGTCACTTGCACACTTTCTCGCTCTCAAACCACACATGAGTACTACCGCAGTAGCGTTCGTAAGGATGACATAATCCACTTCACGGACATGCCGCACCTCCACCCTGGCAAGGTGGCGCGGACTCCACAAGGGGGTTCAACCTCCACCTGTGAAACTTTTCACTCACCCTGTTGGCGAGACACGAGCAACCGATCTGAAAATGGTTAACCACACCGTGTAGCATGGATCTCTCCGTTCATCATGCACGCGTCGCTGCACGCGTCACTACACACGCGAGCTAAGAATGTTTGCGAGTGCTGCAGCAGCTGGCGTGCTGTGGTGCCTTTCTGTGGTGCCTTTGCGGCTGTTTGACGTGCTACATGGAAGATCCGGTCCATTGTTGCTTGATATTCGTTAAAAAACAAGAAAACAAAGCACATGTCATGGTGTTGGGTTCGCTTGTTTCACAAGCAAGCTAGGTTCAGGATTAAGCGAAGTGACCAAGAAACCCGATGTTGCCACGGACAGAGAGTGAACACAGGTGGCAGCCTGGAAGTATTTGCCTTGATTCTCGACCCAATAGGTTTGAAATCGATTGTACTACCATACTGCCTTCCCTTTTCGCTTCTTTCGTTGGTATTTTTCCCGGGTAATCGACTTGATTTCGACAGAGAGACCCTAAAACCAGTTCATGCGGGGGCACGGGTCACGCCATAGCCCGACATGGGGTTGTTCGGAACACCTTATCATCTTGAGACGTGAGTATTGCAGCCGCAGTTGTACGTTGAAGCACCTAGGGTGGGAGACTAACCATTCCCTTTTAATAGGCTTGTTTGAACGCAAGTTGCACAACTTGTCCACCGCGATGTTGCCCGTCTACATTCATGGTTTATGCTTCTGTAATGTGTACTCTCTGCTCTGGCTCAACCTCTGGCATTGGGAACATCCGGTCCAATGGTGAAATTTCACGCAGCGGCATCCCCTGTGCCTGGTCTATTCCCCCCAGAACCCAGTATAAAATCGAGGTTCTCTTCGTTACGACTTGGGGCGTGACCACCTCGAGTGAGTGACCTTTTGTTGTGTTCTGAGATTTGCGTGTTTTTTCTATGCAAACACTTCGTCTCACCACTGGCTCCATTCACTCACTTTATGCACATCGAACGAGCTCTCGCTAGACCCTTCCCGATGAAGGGGCTAGCGTGGGAGACTCCCTCGCCCTGTTGGGTTAGCCCACCACTCATCCTGCCTGTTCGGAGTGTAGTGCGTGGCGGTTTTTGTGCGCTGGTGTGTGGCCATCTAATCATGCCTGCCAGTTTTTCGGTAAACTCTTCTCATTTTTTTTTTGGGAATGGTTGCTTGCTACGAACTTCTGCATTTTGCATGTCATCCACATCACCCGTTCCTCTTACGAATCACCCCGAACCACTAGTGCGTGCGTGGCCGTGCCCTGTCTGTACACTCCGACCTCACCTTGCCGCACGAGTCACATCGCCCCATATCTTTGGCGCGGATCCGCTCACATGCATGCGCATGTACACATTTCCGCCTGCATCTGCACAGCGGACCGCAGTTGGTGGATCCTTTGCCACACCACCGACATTTCACTCTCGCCACAGCACGGCATCAACATGCCAACGCACGACTGACTGCGGTAGGTTCCACTACGCCTTGAAACCCATCACATACTCTATCGGCTTTTGGCGCCGTCGCACATCGTGGTATATTTCCCTGTGTTGGATTGGTGATTGATACCGATGATTTCTCACACATAGGACGACAGCAGCGCGTGTTGCACATCATTTTTTTTTTTTCTGGGTTTTTCTTTTTTGGCCTGTTAACAACTTGCCGCGCGAGCACCCTGCCACATGACTTCGAAACCTTGCTGGTGAAACCCCGCTTGGCCTACCTACTTATGGTTTGCTAGATCTTGCCATACCCTGGTATATCATCTTCACTACAAGTCTATGTACGCTGGTGGTCATCTCATATTATTGCAGATGTTCCATGCTCACACCACACCCGATTCATCCGCAAGCCTGCATGCTCGTGATTCATCACCAGCCTGCAGCAGGTGCAACACCCCGAATAGCCCGGGCTTCCCCCAACTACCTGTGGTAGCTCATGGACTACTGCTGTGTATCCCTACCACAGCAGTTCTGGGGGGGGAGGTCTGGGGGGGAGGTGTGTGTGTACCCACAGCACAGTCTTTGTGCATGGATCAGCATCTGTTCCCGAGGAAGGATCATGCCAAATAATTTCTCGCAGGCCGTCGTCGACCGTCGGGCGTCATTTTACTTGTATATAAGGTCCGTGCACAAGAATTTGTCCAATTTTTTCCAGCGCCCGGGTAAACTATTTCTCTGCACACAGGTGGTCGTTCGAACATCCGAAAGCACCGGCAAACGCTCTGTTTCCAGGCTCATCTTTCTACGGAGAGATTTTCCGATTTTTTATTCCTTGACTTTTTTTCTTCGAAAAACGGTGAAATTTTGTATCGTTTCCGCTGAGTCTTGTTTTTAGCCGATATCAAACATCGCAACGGATTTGAGCGTATCCCGGAATTCCCGACATGTTTTTTTTTTTTTTGGAAAGTACTAATTTTCGACGAAGATATCGACGAAAAACTGGATTTTGAAGGCCAAGTTGTATCGTTTCTAACTACAAAACTGACCGTACGATTTTAAAATAAACAGCGGCAATCGATTCCTCTGGTCAATCCCCAGATGGGTTATTTTTTACTTTTCCAAGAAAAAGAAATTTCACGAGATATCGCCATTGTTGTTGGCCCGTCATGGGAGAAAAAATCGCCAGCAGCCGCTGTGCACACACAGCCACAAACACCCACACGCGGACACACACAGGCCCATGCCACGGGCGAAGAAGAGGAAGCTCGGCCGTGGGTCGGATGGGCGGATAGTTCGGAAGGCCCCGGCACAGCACCATGATCCTCCGGCGTCTGCCGCCGATGTGCCTTCCGTTGGGGACGCACCCGACGACAGCAACGCTTGTGGCGGCAGCGCTTCTTCTATCGATGAAGATGAGGAAGGGGCTGCGGCAAACGACGAAGACTGGTGCGATGAGGAACCCAGCAGGACACACAGCAGTGATGGGGGTCAGTCGATACTACTGAGGTTCGCAGGGCGTGCTGTGGTATCGGCAGCTCGATCGGCAGCAAACAAACGCGGCGAGAAAAACAAAACCCGCCGTGTTTTCTCTGTCACGAAGCCAACAATCCCGCCGCCGAAAAGCAGCTTTGGGGCGCCAAGTCGTGGGCTTGGCCAACACTATGGGGATGTTTCTGGAGCGTGCGCGACGGCAGCAGATTATTGTTGTTCGTTGTTTTTCTGGCCCTTCCGTGGAGTTGGCTGTATCTGGCCAATATTTTTCTGACCCTTCACGCAGAGTGTTGCACGTGTATTTTTTCCGGAGAAGTTCGTACTTGTTCCCGTGCGGTGTGGACACAGCAAACACCCGTCAGCNATATTTTTCTGACCCTTCACGCAGAGTGTTGCACGTGTATTTTTTCCGGAGAAGTTCGTACTTGTTCCCGTGCGGTGTGGACACAGCAAACACCCGTCAGCAGCAGCTGCAGTAGAGATGTTGCGTTGCAGATACTTAATGGCGTGTAGGTGTTCTATTTTTTTTTTTTAAATTTATTTGGTTTCCTACGATGGGTGTTGATGACCAGCCATAAGACCCTATTGAACGCACAACAACCGACCGAGATGTTTCGCCGCACCCTGTTTT